CTTACAGTCCCAGCTCCAATGAATAATTAATTTACATCAATGAAGAGCAACAGTCAGTCAGGACATAGAGTTTCATAGCAGAAGCCAAGACAGAAACCAAAATTTCAAGCCCATCCACCATCTGGATTTGAGCCCCAAAAGACTAGAAATAACAAGTACTGATTGTTTTCTTTCTCTTGGCTAGAAATGCTGTTCAGGAGTCACAAATCTCTCCTGAAAGTTTATTTGTAACTAGCAAGCTACCATGGAGAAAGGCTCTGAGAAGCCAGCATTTTTGACCGACCAGCCAACCAACCTTTCCCTGCCAAAACACAACACATCATGAAGCCTGGTCAGCTATTAAGAGGACCTTAGAGCAGTCAAAATGCTACAATAGTTCGCACACAGAAACATAGCAGGTTCCCTCCCCCAAAAAACCCCACTCTTACTGCAGTGCTGTGTCTTTATTACCATAAAAATCTATAATGACACATTACTGCTTAAGAACTCTGTACCTTTGAGAAAGCTTCAGGTCTGCACAAAATACCCCAGTTATGGCAACAAGTCTTATTTTAATTCTATATAATTTCAAGATGACCACAAGTTGGAGACCTTCTCTTTACAGAGGTCATCAAATCCAAACAGAAATAAAGACACTGTTAATTCAACATCCAGGCAAACTTTTGTTAAGACAGATTTATTAAGCCTCTGAATATCAGCATTACCAAGTATCCATCATGAATCAAAAGCACTATGGTCTGTTTCTGTATTACACTTTAAGGTCCATCTTCTCTTAGCCAAAGATATGTATTTTATTTTATAGTATTATTTCTTGAATTGATAAACTGCTATCCAAACACAACCCGAATTGTATAATCTTGGCCTCTAAGATTGAAATTATTTACCAGTTGCCAAGCTGATTTGCCTATTTATACCCATTGACAGATACCCTGTGGTCTTCTCCAGTTATTTGACACTTCAGATTTGGGACAGTTTGTGAAAGCTAAACTCAGTCGTGCACAAAGGTACCAGAAGTATTTCTACACAGGTTTGTGCCATGCTATTACCTATCTCCACGCTACCACAGATCTGTTTTGGAATCTTTTAATCTGGCAACACTCTCCTGAAAGCCTGAAACCATGACAGTTTAGTCTAATATTCTATATTGCTTAAATGGGCATCTGAACTGCATCTCACCAAGTATACCTTTTTTCTGGCCAGCACTGCATCCTGGACATCAGCAACAGGAGAGTGCAAAAGAATGAGACACATGAAATTTCTGTTCAGTTGGGATTTTTACAAGCCATACACTTTGACTAGAATCCAACAAGTGGTATTCATTTTACTGAGACTCAAAGCTGGCTATTATTCCCCTCCTTTTAGGTTTTTTTTTTCAGATATTATAGAGCACCACTCAAAAAAATCTCTAAGAGGGAGGGAAAAAGTGGACGGAGAGAGGTTTTAAAATTCAGATCAGTATTATCCATGCTGCTGCTTATTTTAATCTTAACATTCACCCAAATATCAGATTGGTGGGTCAGGAAAGATGAGGACAACACTGGAAAAAGAAGAGTCAAAGGAGTACAAAGAGAACAGACAGTCTGCAGCCGAGAAATACAGGAGCATTATTCCAAATCCTGAACTAAGCCAGTACATGTTAATAACTGCTACTTACGGGGTTACTGGAATCCTGATCCCCACTATCCATCTGGGAGATGAAATATCGCAAGCATTGGCTGTGAAACAATGAAGACTTTTCTTTGGCGCTCCCGGCAGAGCTGCAGTCCAAGAACTGAGACTCGCTACACTTGAGCCGTTAGACACAGCCAGACTTCTTAAGAGGATGCAGTTTGGCAAGCATCTGTATAAAACAATCGCATGCTACCTCACTCTAAAATTTCTCATGTTCGTTATCTAGGTGAGATTACAATTATCTTTATATAATGTTTTAAGCATATAACTAAGAATATATAGCGTATCGTTAGTCCTTACTCAGCAAATGGTTATCATATCATTGAATCCCATGAACAAGAGCCCAAACAACTGGAATTTTGTATTTTCAAATTTCTGTATGATGGCTAGAAGCAGAAACTGATTTTATGATGTCGCAAAATAGAATTAAAAGTGTCCTACACTATTCAGTTTAAAACTGATCTGAAGCATTTTTAATGTAGCAACATTGGCTTCCTCACCTCCCCAAAAGGAATGTGTTTGTTAATTCTCCTCACAGATCAAAAGGTCGTATGGGATGAAAATTCTTTTAGAAGAGGAATCTTTAATCTAACAGACAAAAAAAATTCAACATCTGGTTACCTGAAGTTGGAGAAAGAAGCAAAGTAAATATCAAGTACGTATTTAAATTGTAAGGATATGATATTTTGGGGAATCTTACTATGTAGAAAAGATTTTTATAGTGGGGACTCTTTCTGTATCAGGACCTGAACACGTAACTACTGTTTTTGCTCTGCTACCTTTCATGGTCTTCATTAAGACCAGAGGAAGTGGCATAAGTTTCTGCAACTATGAAATAAAGTTAGTTATCAGTGTTTGATAGTTTGGCTGAGCAGTCCATTAATTCAGATTGGTCATCTGTTAGCAAATCACAGGCGAGAAAAACAAACTTTGAATTCACTTACCACTAGCATATGACTATAAAGAGAAGTCTTTGAGCATATTAAACAGCAGTTGAAACTGATGAGGGATGGAGCGGTAAGCAGTGCCAGAAGGCACTGGGTAGAAGACAGGAGCAGCACAGCATGTTATTATGGTCGTCCTTTAACTAGAGGACCAGCACAGGCTAGCAACAAGCAAAGCCTTGTAGGGAGCCAGGTGCTGGGCCAGTGTCCGATTCCACTGCAATTTGTCCTAGAAGAGCTGAACTAAAAATGCAGAGCACCCACAGACGACTGCAGTTCTTGCAAATGTGTGAAAGCTGCCAGCAAACATAAGAGCTCTGCACTCATGATGGTCACTTGGGGATGCCATTTTCAGGATAAATAATAAAGTCAAGAAGTAAAGGACTGTTAAAAGGCTACCGCTCCAGCCTACTCACCTAAAGGGACACTCTAGAGTGCACAGGGTCCTATCAAACCGGTCCCAACACCATATATGTTCTGGTGAATATCCAGCACAGAAAGCTGTGATAATGGTAAATTAATTAGTGGAGCCCACAAAAAAGATGCAGGAAACTATCTTACAGCTTTAAACCAAGAATTGGTATTTTTTAAAGACAATACTTTGTAGTTCAGAAGCGTTTATGAATCTGCTGGAAATTCCAGGGCGTTATCTGTGTGAAGGAAGTGTGGTTAGATCATCACAATAGTTTAAGTTATGGCTAGAAACTTGAAAAGAAAAAGGAAAGCTCTCTTGATTTTTTACGTTTTGAAGTTCCTACCTGATTTAGACACATTTATACTCAAATAATCCCTCTGATAAGGGTAAGAAAAACCGATCCAAAGTCCTGCAGTATGGCAGGATTAGGTATAGCCCCACCCTGAGTTAATGATCATCTAATTTGTGTACAAAAAGCTATTGAGAAGGAGATTCCATCGCTTCAAGGGTAGGGCAGATCCTGTACTTTCAGACTCCAGGAGCTTTAATCTGTGATGTTTCATCAAAGTATTTGGTAGAACTGGATTCTTAATCTGCATAATCTTTAACCAGAGTAAGTATTCATTCAAAACTGAAGCTAAATAAAGACAGCAAGTAACAATTTAACATCTAAGAACAGACTGTAACCGAGCACCGTATCAATTTGACAGCAAAAGCAAGGCAAAGCAACGTGAACAGCCTTATGTACACACACAAAGTATCACATAACTGGTTCGAAATAGGAACCAATTTCCAGGGGCTATGAGCACCTCCAAATGTCCTTTCATTTCAACAGGAATTGTGCACACTGTTAGTAAATTACTGATGCCATGCAAACACCTACATCCAAAAGTTAGTTGGTTCTTCGTCTAAAGCTGCCTTCCCCCCACCTCCCAAATAACAGCAATTAGTAACAAGAGCTTCTGTTTCCTCAAATTTAGCCAAGCTTCCTTTTATACAAAAAACATGAAGAAGTACCAAATGAATACAGAATTTTAAGAGCTGAAAGAGTAATCATTCTCTTAAGAAACTCAGAGATGTGATACAAAAGAAACAAGACTGAGTCCACATATAAAATTACAGATTGATGTTATGTTTAACTATTTATACTAAAGCCACAGATGATGTCTAGTATGTAATCATGTTAAAAAATAAGTTTCAAGAAAGCTTTACTGTGAAAATGAAATGAAATTTGGTGAAGTTTAACGAATTTCATAGCTTTAGCTACTGTGAAAATACTCCTTTACTTGAAATGCATTAAGAATTTCAAATTCCTGAAATGCAAAATTTTCAAACCTTAAGTAGTCTACTATAGCTACAGCTGTTCTCTGAAATGAAGTATTAGCCCTCATAACAAATTAAAAAAAAAAACCCTTCTCCACTTTTTTTTCTTTTCTTTTTTAACATAAAGGAAGGATGAGAAGTATAAGTGCTCCCAAAACAAAGTCAATATACAATTTTAAAAGGTTACCACAGAAAAAAGTACATTCCTTTCTTTCCTTGTGACTATACTATATTTTACACAAGACTGTGCCTAAATTCAGAAGATGCTTGATGTTTTAACTGCACAAGCATTAAATGTTGTCATATTTATCACTGAAGAGTCCGATGGCATACTTCAGTGGCATCAATCTTCACATTATGAGATGGGAAAGCAGTCGTTCAGTTGCACTCAGATTGTTGCTTGCTTGCACCATGGTATAATTGCATTCAACCTGGAATCCAGTGAGAACTCACCTGACCTTTCATGTTTCCCTGAAAAAGCTTTTCTACACTTTCATATAAACCAACAGACACGCAGGATGAACAATTCAGTTCTTTCATTGACTATAAAAAGCAGGTTTTCTTTAAATCGATAGCTTAATAGTTACGCTAAATATAGCTTTTGCCACATTTCTTGCTTGTAATTCAATGTAATGCTTCTTGATACCTCAGTCATCTTCTTGCTGATTTCTTTTCTGTCAACGGAACAGGAGAGTTCGTAATGTTAGGACACAGTTATCTGAAGTAAAAGCACTAATAAATCATGACAAGTGTTTCCAGATACAATGGATATTAGACAATGACTGCATTTCTAAGCCATTTTTTGAATGGTGAGAGATAATGTTTCCAGCAAATGGAACAGAGCAATATCATCCCTCTCCCCCATCCCAAACTACAGGATTTTATTTCCAGTAAAGAACAAGATTTGCCCTGTAAGTTAACCAACAGAATATACAAGAACCAGAAAACATGATGGTTGTGGCAGAAGGCAGCGGTCAAGATGAAGGCAATCTGCCCTCCCTTCCCTGGCTTACAAAGATGTCATGTTTTCATGTCACTGTTCATCAAAGGAACAAAGAAATTGTATTGAAAAAGCAACAAGTGTTTAACGTTTTTTCCTAATATACTTATCTTCTAACTTTTACATAAGTTCTTAAAAGCATTAGCTTCAGCCATTCAAAAAATACATTTCCATTTACACTACATTTGTATTTACATTTAAATAAGAAAGAAAAGAGCTAGGTCCTTCAGTAAGATTTGTGAAACTATATTCATTGCTTCCCGTAAAGATAAAATTAATTAACTGACATGAGATCAGTATGAAAACTTGCTCTTCATCACTTTAAAAAAAAAAAAATCAACCCAACAATACATTGTATGATGGCTTCATACATTACTTTTTCTGTAATTATGTAACCTATGTTAATTACAAATGCACAATTCCAGGCACTTTGATGTTGCCATTTCACAAAGACGGAAAGTCAGAAATTTTTTTCACTACTTCTTACCAGTTTAAGAAAGTCAATTAATTTGTGAACATCCTCTCCTGTAGAAAGGTCCACAAAATCTTTCGGCAGTCGGTAACTCAGGTATGGACTAGGCTGAACAGTAACGTTACTGTTGGTACAACGGAAAACCGGATAGTCCTTTGGAAAAGATATTGGATAAGACAAGAGCAGCGTATGTCAATAAAGCTAGCAATGTTTCTTGAACTCCCCCGTGAAATTGTTGAGTCACTTTGCCAATGAGTGTATTTGGTATTCATTCAACTAAACCTGCGCATTCTAAAAATTGTAGTTTTCTTATTAAAAACTCTGCCCACTTAAGAGCAAAAGTTAAAATGTTAATAACAGTCAAATAAAGGCATTCATTCCCTCACTTTAAAGTTTCTACACTGTATCAATTATTAATGCATTTAATATACATACGCGTGTAACAGTGCTGTAATAATGGATCTATAAGGAACTTTGGGCAATAGTATCTACATAAATATGTGGATAAAGAAAGTCTTTATAATAGAATCCCTAAACTTGTCTTCACAGGTTCCTTGTTTAAACTCATGTTTGCAAATATAACCTTACTGAAATTATGATCTAAGCTTTGCAACCAATTTACTTACTGAAGGAAAAAAAAATCTCTATAAAATATCCGAAAGTATCTCTAAACACTCAGTTGTAACAACAGGTTTTGGATAACTTGATATAATTTTCAGTTCAACACATTGACATGCAACATAATTGTCCATTGTATGGCAATAAGCAGCTTCATTTTAAAGACAGAAGTTCAATAACTCCACACCAGATTCTGTGATCGGATGTAAGCTGAAGTATGAAGACAAATCATTCTACTTTTCATCCAGGCTTACACCAGAGAAAACCATGTAAAGCGTCTGGCACTGAGAAAAAGAAATCCTCAAAACAAAATTCAGGTGTCCCACGGACAGCTCAAGAATTGGGAGTGTGTTTTAACAAAGGAGACACAGCTTTTAGCAGGAAGGTTCATTGAATGGGTTTTCATACAGCAATAGCCACACAGTGAGACTAAGAGAAAATGGCATGAATGATAGCCTGTGGAGTGGTGTATTTCCCTTTCAATGTGTTATGAAAATGGAGAAATTGCAGTTACCTCTAATGCAGTTTAACAGGTAGAAAATAAAGAAAAGCCCACGCTATCCAACTAGCCATCTCTCCTCAGACAACTACCAAGTGTTTTCCAAGATCAAGTAACATGCTACTTTCTATCTTCTATCCAGCTGTCCAAGGACTCGTTAAGATGTGAGGACTCAGTCTCAAGCATGCAGTGAGAAAAAAGCTGGAGTACAAATAAATGAAGACTATTCCTCCTTCTCTGTATTAACGGGAAGTTATTTGTTTTTACAGAGGCAATGCATCTTGGAAGAGGGATAGAAAAACCCTGCTCTGCAAGTCCAGAGAGTTCAACCAGAGGACAAGGCTTCCCTGAGGGTATTCGATATGAGGAAGAGACAGAAGTTAATCTTCTTTTTGCCTCCCCCCAAGCATAAATCTGGAGCTCTGGGAAACTGTATGACAGATATCAGGAACAAAGCAGAACTTTAAGTGATTAAATAGAAAAGTAACAGATTTTCACAGAAATTGAAAAGAGCGCATCAAAACTGCATAAAAGCAAGTTTCAGGGCATCTTCTTCGCAATGTGGTCAAAGCTGCAATATGGGCTTGTACTGTTTGAACTAAAAATTCCCTTGCAGGCACCTAAAACTAGCATGCGATACTTGTTGAAATTAACTACTGTCTAATAAGCTAGATTCTACTTATAAGGAGTTTGCGTTTCATGAGTTAAGGACACCCATTTACTTCAATTTGATTATAACAAAGAAAGAAAGAAAAAAAAAAAAGGCCATAATAATGCCTGTTGGATTTGTTAGCCAGCCTCCCTCACGGCAGGGCTGTACCTGTTCTGTTGCTTCCCCTTCACCCTCGTCTCCTTTCAAGTTTTTCCCAGAGGTCAGTTCTTCCCACGTAAACAGCAGGGAGTCTGTAACTTCACCAAATGGGTTAAAATCTATTAACCAAATCTTACCCTGCAACGGAACAATAGAAGAATTAAAACAAGCCACAGAACTAAAACAAGAAAAAAAAGAAAAAAAAATCAGAATACACATATATTACTGTAGCATGCTTGGTCTTTAGATAAAAAGATGTCAAAATTGAAATCACCTGGTTTTAAGCACTTAAAATATTCTAACATCCTTTACATTAGACACAGTTTTAAAACATGGCAAGCTACGACTTACTAATTTATTTTATTTATTTTTTTTTAAACAGAAGATCAGATAGAGCTCAAATAAACTGAATTCAGTTCTACGCAAGGTGCTTTCAGATGAGACCACAGAAGTTCTGTCTAATCCCCATGGTCCTCCAAGATCCTCAGACAGCATGAACAAGGAAAGGGAAAAAAACCCAAAAAACAAACAAAAAAACAACCCACACACACCCCCCCAAAAACCTAAAACAACCCCCACCCAAACAGGGATTTTGCTTTCCACCAAAAGCCACCTCAGCACTGCTATACATTCAGCAGTCTAAAGAATTGCTGTTCTCGGTCTCAGAAGGGACTCTAAAAATACAGAGCAGGGTCTGCAAAATGCTAGTGGAGATCATGAAAGCTGAAAGGTGCTACACAGATACAGACAAATAAAGAATAACTTCAAGGCATTTATAATATAGCCATTACTAGTAGTCCAGACTAGTTTCTCCTGCCTCATCTTTAATACATTTGTGTTCCAAACAGTTCTGGTAGTATGCACAACAGCATGCCTGTTTTACAATTGAAAAATGAAAGCAGAGAGACTAACATGACATATTAATGGCAACAGAGACGTCTGCAGGGGAGCAAGAAATAGTTTGTGTTCCTTGAGTCATCTCAAGATACAACCCCCAGCACAGGGCCATCTTTTCTTACCCAAGAAAGTGTCATCTACTCTAATAAAACAAAACATTATAATAAATTATAATGAAATGTGACTACAACTGCTAGTAAGAATTTGCAAAACAAGTATTACATTTGGAAGAAATCAGATCTATCAAATATGGAAAGAAAAAGGTTGCTGTAACATAAGCAGGACTGAAGGGTTTTATTGTGTTTATTAAAGATCAACTGGAATCGGAAACCAAACCTGAAGACTGTGTAGCTACTAAAAACTTATTTTGCTTTCTCTTTCTATCCCTCATTCCTGAAGGATCTTCCTTCTTTAAAAGATCTTCCCTATCTTGATACAAACAGCAAATATCTTCAATGATTTACACCACAGCCATCTGGTTTCTAACTTACAAAGATGTTTTTGAAGCCTCCAGTCACAGTAACATGGAGACTTCCTCTCCCACCCACACTACCTAAGCCACCCCCACAGGCACTAACACGCTACAGAATAGGAAACGCATGGAAACCCGTACAACAGAAAACAGAAATGCTCTGGCTGGTCTGTTATCATCCATAGCAAGTTACTCATGCAGGTGGGGGGAGTCCCAGCACAGAAGAAACCAGTGACATTACTTGTAAACTGGAACTGATCCAGCGCCCCGACCAGTGAGTGTGTGGTTGCACGCAGGCTTTCACAGGGCAGATCCACAGGGTACAGCTCTCGCAGATCAAATTTTAAGAAGCCAATGCACTGCAACAGCAGTACTTAAAACCAGGCTACAAAAGAAACTGCAAATTGCGGGGACACAGACCTGAGTGGTTTCTTACTTGTTTCGGAAGGGTGAAGAAGCACAAATCCGCGTGGCTAAGTTGCAGCACCTCTGCACTAATATTGACACCATCGGTGCAGAGAGCGAACACGGGCAACCTCTGCTATCATTTTCCATCTCTGTTCCTCTTCAAAAGGCAGTCACAAATTCTCATTATAAGTGATGTTTTACTTTTGCTAATGGGGACATCTTGTTAGCTCCAAGGCAGCTAATGAACCAATTTAAGCACAGACAGCAGCAATGGCTGGCAAAGTTCGTTCAGCAATTCAGAGAATCTTTCCTTGCATCAGAAATGTTTATACTTAATAAAGGACTTCCCTAGGAAAGATTTTCACAGAGACTCCTCCTCACCCCAAATACATGAAACTCAGCTTTTTCATAGGAACTCAAGATCATTTCTCTAGAGAAGAAATTTACCCTGCAAAAAAAACGAAAATTGGTTTTGAGACTACTGAAAGCTACACCCATTTTTTGTCAGCACCCAGCAGTATTTCTCCCTCCCTGCACACAGCAGTACACCATCTACAACACCAACTGTTTCCTTGAGATGGTCTTAAATCTGCACTGAGCTTTGGTAGCTGCAAATTGATGAGAAGTGGCAAAACAAACTAAATATCCCTTTTCAGAGCTCATTAAAGGGAGTGTATATAACTCTGGGTCAGTAACCAAACTGTCTTTTCTTAAGATTATGTGCTCTTTCAAGTCTTACGCGCAATGTCATGATTTAAATGTAGTTTCAGATTACTTGCACTGTGTATCTAAACAGCAGTAGTAAAGCTGTTTATCTGCCATCTTCTGGTATTAGTAATCTTTTGTCATATGAGAGCACAGAAATGCACAAGCCAGGAAAGCAAAGTTGTGCATATCTGGAGGGGAAAAAAAACGCAACCTTTATTACATAAGATTTTTTTCTCATCCTAAACCAGGAACCAACAGATTTACCATATCATGTCAGCTTCATGCTTTGTTTTACTAAAGCATTAAGCAACATGCTGCTGAAAGGAAATGCCTATGACAAAGATTGTTTAAAAGGAAGTTAAAAGATAGACAAAATGCGAACTGAACTGTTACATCTCCCTAACTCCAGCTGCACCTTCATGCACAGTGACAATGCTCACAAGGCAGAGACACAAGCACCAGTTTGCATGTTAACAAGAGCAGCTGTGAGCTAGCAGTGATCTGGAGCCACTCACTGCATTTCTTTGTCTTACCACAGTGACTTGTCTTGAACATGGTTACAAGTTGTTAACACCTGGGAGATACGCAACGAGCAACAGCAGAGCTGATTCTCAGGCTTGTCAGCTGTTGCACAACGATTTTGAACTGCTAGCAACAACAACAAAAAAAAGTAGTAGATACAAATGAAAACAGGCTACCAGTCCTGCAACATAACTTCTTCAGGACTAGGTCTCCAGATGATCCAACTTGGAAGACTGTATGGCAGGATTTCTTCCTTAAAAGACGACTTGTCTGCAAAGTCAGGCACTAGCTCAGATGAGCTCGGTGAAGAGAGTGTAACAGGAAAGGCAGACACATAAAAGCTGTTCTCAACCAGGCCACTGCTGCTTCTATGCCACCCTCCACTTCAATGAGCAGGACCTGTGGCAGCCTACTCCGTGCAGTCTCTCAAGTAACTAAAGCAAGCGTGGGGAGGGGGTTGCTCTCATTCACAACCATATCAAAGAACAAGCTTCTCCAAGCTGAATATTTAGAGTTGAAAGAGTTTAAAATAAGCAGACACTGGACATTTCTCTCATTCTGTAGGTGAGGTTGCTGTGCAACCAGCCTGATGAGGAGCACAGGCTCTGGAAATTAATCACACTCTGCAACACTCAGTATTCTTTTGCTGCCTATAACTCACATACAAAGGGAGCAATGAATAATACAGTTGCAAACCACAAAAGTACGTGTGAAAGGAGGAGGATCTGACACACAAAGGGCTATCTGGCAGTTTACAAGACCTGAGGGTAGAAGGCACCAAGAGATATCTACAAACAGATATATTTTATCTTGACAGATGAAGAAACACTGCTCCTTTGAGATCACACAGGCTGAAACCTTCTACTTAAATAATCTGTCTTCATGCCTCAGCTCTGAGGCAGAGTACCCAACGGCAGAACCTGGTTCAATGACCTGACAGCATCCTCAAGTCTGCCGATCTGAGCCTGGGCAGGTAATTTTCATTACCATTCAGCATGGCTGTTTTTAGCCTGTAGCCTGATTTTAGGTACCTTTGTTAAAAGTTGTGCTGAGTAACAGTAAAACATTTTTTTTTCCACATGACACACACTCCTGTTTAGTTTCTGTTTTGCAAACTATGGCATGATTTACTACTACACAATTACAAAACACTTTAACAACATTCAAAGTCTGAATCAGGACTTACTACAAATACTCCCAACTCAACTCAAATAAAGACCTTCTCCAATCCCATAACTGTAAACAAGTCAAACAGTGAGACTCATAAATGTATATAGCAAATGTATATAGCCCTTTTTTTTGCATTTCTGGTTTAAGATTTGGAAAAAATTTAAGCTAAAAGAAAGACTTACTTCTCATGCACTAATGTGCATGCACTTCCCAAAATCAGGTTGTGATTCCTAAAATCAGATTTTGAGATTTAAGGCTACATAACGCATTTTTGGTTGTGGTTGCTTTTAAAACAATACATGTGTGCCTTTCAAGCACAATTCTTCTGACCTATTTCTCTCCATTGACACTAGGATAGGTCAAGGTGATTAACTCTGATATTGGCACCTGAAGTTCAGATGGGACATTTCTCCCCGTTCCATCACTATCTGGATGTTCAGGGTTCTGATCACTGGGTTCCGAGCACTCAGAACCACAGCTGGAGCAGTTTGAGAAGGAAAAAACAGCTTTCACCTGTCACAAATTGGGCACATCACATTCATATACTCTTTTGACAACTATCCCTTCGTACCCTAGGCTTCCATATATGAAGTACAAGTTACCATTTTCCAACCTCACACGGATAATCTGAAGAAACAGTAATGATTAGTTTCAATGAGTTCAGATGCTATAGGGAAAAACATCATGGGGGGAGGAGGAGGAAAGCCCAAGGAATGATTTTTTGTAAGAATCCCCCAGATTTTTTTTAGTGAGCAAAATATCACCCCCGCTTTTTTTTTTGAAATATCACAGCCGTTGTGGCTGAATGTTCAGATACATTTCCATCAAAAGCACCCAGAATAAGCACTATGCAGAGGGAACCTTGGCAACAGGTAGTGCTTCACTAAAACAATTTAGTGTTGCATGATATTGATTAAGTACCTATCTTAAAAGAAAATTCCCCAAGCCTGTCAGTGTTTAAGAGGCATTTGGACAATGCCCTTATTAACATGCATTAATTTTTGGTCAGCCCTAAATTGGTCAGGCAGCTGGACTAGATGATCATTGTAGGTCCCTTCCAACTGAAATATTCTATTCTATTCTAAATTATTTCAGCAAAGACTCTCCGTGTCATAATGAAAACTAAATTGCCTTCAGTAGATTCATAGAACTGACAGAATTGCAGCTGAAGCTAAAGTTATGTGCTTTAAAACAGACTACTTCTCTGGAAGATATTTGCTAAATAATTACATCACAGGCACAGACATATTTACACCCCTAATCCTATTATTCTCCTACTGCGGACAGGATCTAACATAGAAAAAGACCTGGGGAACAGAATGATAACATCAAGTAGGTTCCTTTTTTTTTTTTTTTTTTTTTGGCCAAGACTACTTCTAGGAAGATGAAGCTATTATTTGCTTCATCTCTGTAGCATTTCAGGAGGAGTTTCCGCAGAATAAACAATTATATACAACCTATTGTTCACTTACCCTGCTGTCTCTGTACACATCAAAAACAACTGAAAAGGAGAAAAAAAAATATGTTAATCTTAAAAGATATATAATTTCACAGAAGATGTCTAAATCTGAATAGATACTTGTGTACACAGCACAATCTGCAAAGTCAGTATGTCTAAAGAACTGCAAGCCAGAATTAGGTTAATTTCCAAGAGGGAGTTGAAACATTTCAAGAACTACTGTTAATGCACTGAGAGATCGGCTGCCGGGTTTTTCCATGTAATGCTGGTTTCTTCTGTTGATTTTTCCTCCCAAAGAAGAACGTTTGATAAACTCTTAGCACAGTGAGAAGCTTATCTTCGACATTACTGCTGTTCAGTTTACAGCAGAAGGGAGAAATTTCAAGGAAGGATCAAGACTCCACTGTGTTAGACACTGCACAAACATTTAACATGAGAAGGTTCCTGCTTGAAGGAGATTAGGACTTCAGCAGATAAGACGACAAACAGGTTGTAGGAACAAAGAGGTCAGTGGGTGTGCTGAGGAGGAGGTGGCAGTGAAATGGCTATGTTTAATGTAACCCAGAGCAGAGACAGCACACCTACCGATTATCAACAACTCTTTCAAACAGACCCTTTGCTACTCGGTGATTGACGCAAAGCTGCCCTGCTCCATTGTTATCCCTCCCCTTGACTTAATTAAGCGTGAATCTTTGTACATGCATCTTTCTATTAGCTTCTGTTCTGTATGGTTACACAAATCTTTGTCTTTCTATTCAGCTAGGGAAAACCGACAGATAAGCATTCAGGCATGACTACATTCAAAAGTTGTACCAGAAAGAAAGCAAGCAAGCAGAAAGAAAGAAAAAGAAAAGCCAGATTTAGAAAAACCTCAGACAAATGCTGTATTGTCACTTCCTTCACTAATAAGGAAGGGAATATTTCAGCTAAGAGATTTCCCAATACATGTGGGATAAACTAAACTCAGGATATGACTGAAGAACACTTGAGCCTCAGCAACTACTCAGGAAGCTGCCCGTCAGTAACAGGGATGTTGATTGATCACGTTCATGCATGTAAAGCTACTCAGCAGCTTAATCTAACATTTCATGCGGAGTTGGCTGGGCTAAGGGCAAACCACAACTCAACAGCACCAAAGCCAGTCACGTAACTGTTTTTGACCATACAGGCTAAAAATCCACACAGCTTTTTGCACAAGCTCAGTTACGTCAATTTAAAATGTCATTCTGGGATTAAGTGCTATGATTTTCTTGAGAAGACAAGCCCTCAGTGGCTAAGTCATCAAGAGGAGCACATGTGAAGAGGAGCACAACAACCCTAAGTTTCTTCTCCAGCTGTTCAACTGAACTTGTTGCCTGTACCATTATTCTCATTAGTCATACTTCATTAATGGAAAACTTGCATCTGAGCTTTATTATAAAATGATGCCTCTCAGCTTAAAATAAGCCTATGGCAATCATTGAGGCTAATGGCATTTAGTGGAATTTACGTCCCTGTCAAGACTGACTGCACACTGGTGACCAGTTCGGGACACTCACAAACACTGAACAGGGAAGAAAACCTGAACTGTTCGCTCTTCTTAAGGACCACCTCAGAGCAGGAGTGTCTTGGGCCAGCGAGACTGTAGTAAAACTTTATCAGCAATTGCTCAAAATGGAGGGTAAGCCAAGGCTCAACTCTACAGTAAGTATCAATACCTCCAGAACACTGTTCTTACTGGGCTCTTATGAAAGGTATTTAGGAGGTTCTAACATAATTTAGAAGTATTTATAAAGCATTCACCCATCTGTTATCCTACTGCTCTGACTCCGCAATGCTTCAGCTGCTCTGACTCAACTCTTCCATCTGGAGATGCTACCAGACCAACTGGCAAAAGCAGAGCAAACAGCATCAAAATCCCCAACGAAACAAGTAGTCAGGAAAAAGAGCTATAATACCTTTCCTTTTAAAAGCAAACAAACAAGCAAACCCAGATTTTTATTGTTAACAATACATATGCTACCAGACAGTGGATCAAGGGATAAACTGGGAGATGAATGAAGCGTGGTAAAAAACCCCAGAAAATATTTTCTGCATGGCATTTCTCTGCAGAAGGACAAGTCACCAGCATTTAGTGCTTAAGAACAAAAGGTTAACAAACCTTCATGCCAGAAGGTCATCCTGAAACCTCCTTTTCCCAGAAGGTAACTCAGATGGCATAGTTTTATGTTCTTTACATAAGATGACACTTCAGACCTTTCAGTTCACCATACAGCAGTTTCAGAGCCCAAATCTAGGCATCAGATTCCAGTAATAGTGCCCTGAATTCTTATCTATCAGTCGATTACATACCAGCTAAAATTACTTTGGAGCACAGAGGAGAATTATGTAAATTAAGTAAGATCTATATGAGCGATCTTACTTCAAAACATTAGGGCTATGGACCTATTAAATTAGTACACTGATGTCCAGACTACTAGTCTTCTCCAAGGAGTGGACCTTGAGAACTTCTCTGGACTGAAATAAAGGAACCCTGCAGAGTCAAATTATTAAGAATTTTAATATAAGGTAGACTGGCATTAGAAGTATCTTTTTCAGCAAGTCAGACAGGACAGATCTATTTGACTGCTCTGGTGGCTCGGCAAAATAATTAACCATGTTCAAAACTTACCTAAAGGTTGAGTATTCAAAGCTTTATAGAAGACAATACAACTGCCAGACAATTCTTATGTTTATGTATTTTACTAAACTGAGGTTTGGCCCACGCCAGATCCAATTTAAATTTCTTCATCATATTTTTCACCACTCCTGATCACCCATCACAACAGAACACTATTCAATTCTCACTAAACCATGTCAGGAAACTATTTCCAGTAAGATTTGCAAAGGACTCCACATTTAAAGAACAAGACAATTTACTTGGGCTGCTTAGGTGTATCAAATACCGTGGCCTTTATTCAAAAGTTTCAGCAGCTAAACTGCTGCGCATCAATATTCTAGGAGAAATTATTATAACTCTTTGAAAAGAAACCTACAAATCCTTTCTTCGAGGAATACATCAATAATTTAGCAGCAAACACCTGGCAACATCTTTATGACCAAGTATTCCTCTTACTACTGAATGACTTTTTTTAAGCATTTCCTACCTCACTTCTCAGGTTTAGAATTTTTCTTAATTAAAAAAAAGTATAAGGGGAAAAAGCCTTCCAAAAAAAAGTCATTATGCCTTCTGAAGGGATCTTTCCATCATTCGTTGTGTTTTCCTGAAAAGCTCCAGCCTATTCCTTCAGGGTTTTTTTGTTCCAAATTTTATAGTCATTCAAAAACTACATTGCTCTGCATGCCCTAGCCACAAGAGCTGTAAGACTCTCCCAATTTAAAAAGAACCAAGCCCTGTGAAAGAAATAGCTATGAAGAGAGAGATGCATATCCACAGACTTAAAATACTGGGGATGCCATTATTTATTGAGAAGTACCCATTTTTCCACTGATCTCCAGCAGTAAACTGGAATTTATCACATTACAACTCGGTGCGCTGTGGAGCAAACGAGCCTGGCTCAGCAACAGGGGCAGGAGGACAGGTCTCATTTCTACAGAGTTTGCCCTGCAAGCCCTTTCAATTTCAAACCTCCCAATACCCTGCAAAGGAACTTCAAAGAGGTAGACCCTTCATTTCTGTTTTTAAGTCTTTGTAACTATGTATGCAGCAAGTATTTAAAAACCTTCATAAACATCCTCCTTCCCTCCCCCATGCTCCCCTTGCTAATTGAAGCCGTAAGATACTTACAGTCTTCATCCAAGAATTTATACTGTACATGTTTCTTGAAAAACTCCTGTATTGATTTACAGATCTCCTCATGTTGCTTAGAGATATGATCGTAGTATTGAGTGTAGTCCCTCTGTGATATACCTGTCAATAATTTTAGTAGATTACAAAGAGCTTTAGGCATGCAAAAACCCCAACCAGACAAAATGCAGTTATCAGAGACATGCATGTTATAATTTATATTTCAGAAGATGGGGTTCTCCCAAGTTTCAACCATTTAAGAATTACTTACTACTTGGCGTTATTCTCCAATATTTAAAGCACTTCCATTAGGAATTTTTTCCTTGAACAGTTCTGCCCTATATTTTGTGAACCTTATTTTACATGTACAATCTTTGACTATTTTAAAGTGAATTTCAGGAGGAACCTTTGCCTGCATTTAAGTTTCCCATTCCTGTCTTTTCCTTTCAGTTTCATTCGCCCTGGTTACTCTGGTCAAAAACCTTTTCTGTTCTGCCCATCAGATGTAGGGACCAGAATTTGGAACCATGAAATGAAAGGGGTAGAAGCTAGGCTTGCACATTAGCAAAGATGATCGATCCTAGCATACCATAAAGATTTTCATTTAACCGATTTTTTAAGCATGGAATAAAGCGTACCTGTTTGATAAGGCACTACAGGTGAAACCTTACATCCTAAAATCAACGAGATGGCATGCAGTCTAGTACTTTATTTCTTCCATTTATCCCCCCCCAAGGGCTGTCTTGCATGTCTGACATTACATACATCACGAGCTCTTAATTTCAGACACTTGTTTGTCTACAAGACAATAGTTTAAGTTGACATCAACAGGATTATACGCTTGCTTGCATCTTAAGTGACAGAATTCTCATACAGAATACGTCAACATAAGCCACTACAATACCCTGCTGGACAAATGTCAAATCAAGACCTGCCCCACTAATGCAGAATAACTCACTCATGCTATTTAGGGGAAGAAAAAGCCAGAATCCCCCAAGAAAGATGTATCAATGATGGCAGTTTGCTGTTTTAACCATATACAAAACACAAGAGATTAAGTTTTACTGTAAGACAACGCTGACTATCTCCAAAGATGTGCTCTTTAAAAAGGTTCATATAAAGTTTATGATGTCAGTGGAACTTTGAATTGTTAATACCACTGCAAAGCTTAACTCGGGTCTAAAAACAAAAACCAAGAGATGGTGGCACCTCAGGGGATGCAGATGTGTAACTGGAAAATCATTCACTACACTGTGCAATATCACTCCTTAGTTTGACTGACAGGCTTATTAATTTTAAGAGCACGGGAACATATTGTGAAAAATCTTGGAACTGTCTTCAGAAATGCAGCTGGAGTGCGAGCTAAAAAAAAAAAAACCATACTGGCAGATCTACTAGGTTTTAAAACCTAGTAATGAAACGTGCAGAGTGTTTAATTAGCCAGTACAAATGCTCTGAGGTATTTGAAAGTAAATATCACTATATATATATTCCATAATAAATCTACATTCAAATGTTTTAGAGGTTATTACAGTGATGATATCTCTGGCAGTTGTGGTGTTCCAGCAGCACGTAACAGGTCAGGATTCAGCTCTTCCCCCTTCAAAAAGCTATGTCAGTAGCCGTTAAGCAATACCAGCTTAACGGAGAATCTCTGCTATTAGCAAGATAAACTCTGGTACAGAGAACTGTAATAAACCTTGCAATTGGCATGAATGGATAGAGAATGGAAAGATGAGTGTGGAAGCACCAGAAGGAACAGCCAAATAAAAGGGCTTTGAGAATGGTATGTGTTGACAGCACCTAGATTATCACAGCCCAAAACATCCATGTGGACTTCCATAGGACACCCAGACCAGGAAACAAAGAACAGTGAGTACGTTCCTAATGATTCACAGAGGTGGGACAGGATGGAGAGACAAATTGCTGACAGCTCCTAACAGGTACAAAAAGGCATATCCAAAACAAGCACATAGTCACCATGCTGAGAAGAAGCCAGGAGAAACAACGAGGACTAGATAGCTAATATCCCTTCACTTCCACATCAAGGAATCCTGGACAGACTACTTGTATATATGCATCTTGATGCTTGTGAATATGTAGGTATGAGACAGACAAAATGAGCAAACTTGGTTTTATTTTAAAGCAAAAAATCACCTTCCTTCCTATGAAGTCTGGATTAGAGCTTTGCTACATCCCTGTTATAACATCTCCTTGTTAGAAGGGTTTAGGCAGAATGACTCAACCTCGTTAAGGACAAATATGCACCAGTTCTGTGCTATTTACTTTTCTGTTCATCTTTAAAGATTCCATGGTAGACCACGCCAAAAACAAATTCAAACTCCAGGATAGTATTTAGCCTGATATGAAACCCCTCAATTCAAGCAACCTGTATGCGCACTAGATCTCTAAGCTCCTGTTATAGTTAGCAGAGAATAGTCAGTACATCTAGAGGAGTATAATTCAGCTAAATTTACCCTAGAGCTGCCTAAAATACATGCTCTAGCACAATCTGCCTGTCCTCCAGCTGTCACAGGTATCCTGATGCACCCATCAGCTCTTTGCATGCTGTGGATACCCTAGCTGTTCAGTGCCACTTGAAACATTTTACATTTAGGTTTTTGAACCAGAGTAACAGATCGACAGGTTTTCTGACTCAACTACACTGAACATAATATGAGCTCAGACACCTCGTACACCTGTGGACATGTTCTGACCTCGCCAACTTTCTGCTTATAATATCCACATGTGGTCATGTTTTATCAGCATAATACCCAACTGCCTCTGTATTAATTCTGCAAGCTGGCTACGATGTCATTTGCTCCTGAATATAAAAGAGTCACTTACAAAGCAGCCTTTGGGTAAAGTTTCTGAGTTAGCAATCAGAATTAAGAATATTCCCACTGTAATATTGCGCATGCTGTGTCGTCAGGCTTTCAAATACAGTGGAAAGAGAAATGTGCATGCCACATTTTAAATTACAGAAAGAAGAAGAAAACATTAATTCCAGAAATGAGGTGTGATAGGAAAGAACTGTCTTCAGATTTAGCTCTGATTCAAGGAATCAGAGAAACTCCTAAGAACTTCACCTAATAATTTTATCTTTAAGAAAAGCCTTACCTATAAGCTTGTTTTCCTTGACAAAGCATCTGAATTCTGCACCAGGGATTAGTTCACACCATTTGCGAAGAACAAGCTATAGAGGAAAAACAAATGACAAAGTATTGTTTCAGAAAGGTAATAGGTAACTTTTTGTCAACAGGTATACCTTCTAGTTTTGCTGTAATGATAAGATGACCTCTGAAGTTATTCCTGATACAAAAAACCAAAACAATCTTAACCTGCAGTTCACATAATCATCTTAGCAAATACTTCAAAGCAATTAGACTTAATAGTAATTTCATAGAATCACAGAATGCTTTTAGTTGGAAGGCACTTTTAAAGACCCTTTAGTCCAAACTAGTTTAAAATAGAAAGGTTCAGACTGGACATAAGAAGAAACTTTTTCACCGTGAAGATTGTCAAGCATTGGGACAGCTCCCTGATAGAGGTTGTACAGCCTCCATCCACTGAGGTTTTCAGACCAGACTGATAAAATGCCAAGCAACCCGATTTGATCTCATCGCTTACCCAGCTTTGAGCATGAGAATGGACTAGAGACCTCCTGAGGCCCCTTCCCACCTTCATTATCTTACATTCTTCCACTTTGTATGGTATTTATAATTGTGAAATTATTTATGAAACAACTTCAAAGTTACATTAATGATAAAGCATGGAAAACAAAAAAATCCTGCTGTACAACACAACAAATCTGTCATGGAATTGGCAGAAAGTTGCTCCCTAGTCAAAAGAGCTGATGAGCAGAATTAAATTTAACCAAATCAACCTCTATTCTGGTATACACCCAAGTAGAATTCTGTGACGCCTTTGAAGGCGCAAACCAGTTAAAATAAGGACACGGGATAGAAATAGTAACCAAACTATTATAGTCAATAGGACAGACTGCCTAGTAATTAAAGCGTATCTCTGGCACTTTCTCAAGTTTCTGCATTTCTTAAGCTGAAGTATTCAGATTTTGAGGGCCTCAATTACTGCTCATGGGTACTGGAAACTCCCAACACCTATCACCCACAGAAGAAAAACCTCAGTAATCAAAGGTAACATTCCTAACTACCGTGTAAATGTGAAACTCTTTGTTTCAGCTTTCAGATGTCTTGTATTTTTTCTAAGGCCCTTTAAGCCCACAGGATGATAACAAATGCTACATTTACATAAAAATTATTGTTAGAGACATGACTAGATGCTACCATAAAAGCAATAGCACCACATGAACAGTTTAAAGCATTGTTAATATCTACGTTGCTAACTTAACATTTTAGTCTGGTAACCAGCATATGAAACAAGATATGATAGACCACTTCAGGATGTCCTCAGCCACTACAGCTAGTTTCTCTCTTAGTAACCTCAGTTGTGATATTCACAAGCAATACTATCAAGAATATATGACTTTCAGTTATTGAACTTGTCCTTCCTGGCAAAACCTGACAGACATGAGAGTAAATTGCAAGGAAGCTTCAAAAGTCTGAACTTTAGCTCATCTCTGATCTGAAATTAAATGAACTCCTTATGAACAGTAGCGCTTAACCAGGCTTCCCCACACTGCCCAAGCAACACAATTAAAACAAAAAAAACAACTTTTATGGGCACATACCCAAGCACAAATGGCAGCCTACCTGTGAGCCATTCATTTAAATCACCTAGAAATCATGTAGAGAGTCTTACCTCGTAGTCCAAGGAAGGATCGGGGGAATCATCAGTGCAGTGAATAAATCTGGAAAATTAAGGCACAGGCATCAAAATCTGCTTTTACATATAAGATTTTAGCCATAGTGAAAAAAATAACCCTGAACTACGAATCACAAAAGCTACTGTTAAATTACCTCCAAGACGTACAAACCAATTCAATAGATCAATAACAAACCGCCTTTCGACAACCATCAGGAGGTAAAAAAAAAGGAAAAAAAAATTCTCCTCTTTTCGTCTAGTGTAATTTGGAAGCACTTAAATTTGGACAGGGACGTGGCTAAAACGTGAGTGTTTATTCATTGTTGAGTTTTTTGTTTGAATCAACAGTGCTGCTCCTTTCCTCTTTATTGTTATCTTGGCATAACTGGATTCTCAAAAAAACAGATAAACTTGAACAATCTAATCTAGTTTCATTGCAGCATGTTTTCCCTAGTACTTTTAATGTTTAACTTCCTAAACCACACAACATCATCACGCCTTACAGCAGTTTATTTCCATGAATAAGGGATGCAAAACAGTGCCACTCGGCACTTCTGATTCCACAGCATGGTATCTTTCTAAATTAAGAGCCTTAAGAAATACTCTTACAAATCCCTTGAGAGTGGGAATAAACAAAACTATCTCCATAACTGCAAGCAGATGTCAAGGTTCTGTCCCTTGTGAGCAGCTGATTCTGTGTGCCACCTTTCAGGAACTATCAAGAATGGAGGCAGTTATACCCAAGCCAACTTCTATGTACCTTTTTGTCATTTTACAGCAAACCTTGCAATAAATCCTGTAACTTTCAAAGGGAATTAGCAAAAGAACATGCGTTTTCCTTCCAAGTGTACTCCCTGACCTTACTGGCAACAAACTACTTTGATGCACAGAACTGTGTAAAGGGTCACTGCTGAGCAATAGTCTTAAATGGCAACATTTATACTATCTCCCTTTGGCACTGAACTTAGTTAAGGAATCCAAAAGTCTAACATCTCTAATATAAGCATTGCATTTGTAAGACATAGCTGCCCAGCCATCAGTTTGAAGCGAAGAGCTATTGTAAGAGTTCATTCAGCATGCAGCCAGCAGAAATAAATTTCACAGGTTTTAGTTTAGGCTTTGATACCCACTACACGCAGAAAAGAAGAGCAATAACAGGCATGCTTTCCAAAAGTACCGTAATCAAACAGATCATACATATCTGTAAGCCTATGTAAACAGGTAACATCCTTCAACTACAGTTTATATTCCCCACAAGTTAAGATCTGTCAAGGCAACAGAAACAAACTCACGAGAGCTTGCAGTTTTGCTAGACTCAAAATTCCTCCCTTACTAGCATATATGCCTACCATGCTCAAGAAAATATATCACACACACAAAAACAATCATAAACTATATATAAAAAGGCAGCTGAAGTCCAGCACATGGAGTTTTACAATCCCTGCACACTAGGACCTGTAGTACCTCTCACAGACTTCCGTATCTGAGGTCGGTGTACCTGCAATCTGCTTCATTCCAGTAACATGCAGTCTTTTCCAGCAGTCAAAAACCAGCCTTATAAACAATCAAAATTATCCCCTGCTCAACCCTCAAATATTTTGGGTGAGAGCTATGTGGGGAAAGATACTTCCTCTTTCCTTTTAAGTCGGAAAAGGAAATTCTTGGGTGCCATCCCAAGTCACAGACAGCTCAACTATTGCTGCCAAATCAAGCAAACAGGCAAAATGATGAATATAGACAAAAATACTGCAAGACGCAGTAATGTTATTTTTCTTGAGCCTTAATGATACAGGACTGAGTACAAATGAGGAAAAAAATGGGAGAACGCAGCGAAAGATAAAATAAACTCAGGTTTTGTAGTCTCATTTTCCTTCTAAATAGTATCATGAGTTTCTGTCAACAGAAGGACATTACTATCACCCCTTTTTTGGGGGTAAATTTTGGGCAGCTTGAGGTAGTTGCAATTTTATATTTTTTACCAACTTATTGTAGCATCAATTGTTCAGACCCAGCTGAATTCATCTATTACATATGGCCTTCTGATCATAAGAGGCAGAAGGCTAAGAGGGGTTTGTTTAACCTGCATCCTATTCAGGTTTGGAGGTACTTGAAAAAACAATCAGAAAGACTTCAGGAACCCAAAATTGACAGATATCTGGGCTCTCTTTTCCAAAGCCTTTGAAAACTGTCATTTTGAATACTACTAAGGCTGAAGGAATTAAACTCTACTGCTTATAGGCCTTGTGCTGTGGTCAACAGCTTGTTTACAGATTTATACTTAGATGTCAAGAACAGAAGGATCAAGGTCTCTTTATATGTAGCAGCTGTATGTTAATCTCCAAATGCATATTCTTGACAACAGGACACACTACATGAAGCCTTTATGCTGTTCAGTTTTCAACACTGAGAAAAGCAATTTAAGAATGTCTGTAAGACCTCCAGTACCTATCCTGCTAAGAGAGCCATGAACTCATTTGCAAATCACTGAGATTATTCTGTGGATAATAAACTACTCTGAATACAATGAGAATTGTAAAAGTTACTCTGTACCTGACAGTTCCCCTGCTATAACCTCATAGTTTATTTTAAAACCTTAACAAAAAAAAAAAAAAAATTAAGGAGAAACTTCCAACAGCCTTTGATACGCATCTTTATTTCTTGAATATTGAACCTTGCTGGAACTTTAAGGACTAAAAGAAATAGGAAATTCATGCACCATTCTAAAGAGGATCTTGTACTACACTGTAAATTGCTAGGAAAAAACGGGATGTGAGTAAAACCTCAAGAAAACAAATTCATCAAAGGCCTCACTTTCCACATCCTCTCTTGTGGAACTGTCTACCTCAAAATAGGTTATACTAAAGTCTAAACCAACAGCTACTGTTCTTGCAAAAAGGTATCCTGAGTGCCAACTCACATCTTTATGAGCCAACACTGCCTCCTATGTTCTATTAGGAGAACACAGGCTGTTATTCCTCCACATCTCAGAAAAACTTTAATTTCTTCATCATTTGTAATTCAATATTTAGAAGCATTAAGTCTGGTATCAAAAATGTAGTCAGAATGCTAGCAAAAAACAAAAAGGATTGAAACATTTGCCAGGTTTTAAAGTTAAACAATGTGCTTCGGAGCCTGATGGGCTAAACCTCACTCAAGAGCAGACTTTCTCAATTGTTCTCAGAAAGAAGCACTTAAATTTTAACCAAGCCCTCTCATAAACACCTAAATAAAAAAAAATTGCATCTCCCCTCATGTTCCTTTGTATCTTGCACATTAATACATTTAGAAAATTTTCCTTGGCCCCGTGGGAGCTCTTTCACCTGCTCCATTAACCTAGTAGATATTTCTTACCTACTAAATGTGGCATAGACGGTCCCTTCACTCTGTTTCCTGGGCTTAGGCAGGGTTGAATGGCTACTTTTAGACTCTTTACTTCACCTGTCTAACCAGCTTCTCGAAAAGTTTTCAGGAATGAACTTCTGGAAGTAACAGGTCCATAGCACCAGCTGGTCCAATAAAATACTGACAGTCAATTTATAATGTGTAAGTGCACATCAGAAAACAGCCATTCTTGCACGTGATTCATACCATCCCTCTATAATAAGTCAAAGGGCAATCCCTGCAAAAGATGTTCTCTCCATTAGGTTGCTTTTCAACAAGGTTGAACTTACAGGACTTCTTATTTCACCTCTACAGTTGTGATTATTAAACAACTTGAAAAATAAGAACACTTCAGTGTTCAAAATCCCAATAGTAGTATCTGCAGATTTAAAACATCCAGTATTGCCTTGTAGGACACGAACAATCTCCAAAGCTTGACAAAATTTCCAAGGTTTATTGACGAGCATGACATAACAACAAGCTTATCTTATAATTGAAAGGGCATTATCATATCATTAGACCTATTGCTAATATTTATACCAGTCTCAAGGTGGGCAATCATGTCTTAACAAAATGTAGTCCACACATTCTAACAATAAGGAAGAAAACTCTGTTCTAAACCAATACACTCAACAGGGCTTTAAAAGGATTTTTGTTCAAAAGAGGAGTTTTAATCACTTAACAGAAATCCCAGTTAGAAAGGGATTTTTTTTAAACACATGTCCACAACACTAAGGACTAAGCCTACGTTAAAACCTGAAAAGTTAAGGATCACACCACCCACAAGTTTTTTTGTGAACTCAGCTAAGTAAAATGCAATGCTTACTTTGAATGCTTACTTAGAAACAACATCGACTACATTAACGAGTGCATCACTCTGAAGTCTTTGTTAATTTATACAAAATTAACAAGGAGAAAAGTTAACTCATTATTCTGAACTTTTCAACCAAACAAAGTGTCAACATCATGAGAGAATCCAAACATTTAAAACAGTCAAAGCTTATCCAGTCATGCTCAGTATACTTGCATTAAGGCCATATTTTTTAATGGTTTGTATTGAATTATTGCATAGCTGAAGTTTTCTTGGAACTTGAGACAATTGAGAATTACAGCAAGGGCAGTTCCCTGACCTGAACAATGTATAGATCAATACCAGATAAGCAGACAGGAAATGGGAGAGGAAGGAAGAGGCAAAGAAAGTGATTTGCCTTAAGTCCCACATCACTGGCAAAGCTGGATTAAGAAACAGATCTTCAAATTGCCATTGCAAAGTCTTCTCCATATTATGACCCGTGAATTGGATTTTTAAGTTAATACAATTGAACAGAAAAAAACAAAAGAAAGCAAAAAAAAAGGGTATACAACATTTCAGCTGTTACTTATGCAGGGCAAGAAACTTCTAGACCATACTGAGTATTAATGTAAGAAGCAGAAATATAGTGCATTTATCCTCCCTCTGAGTAGCCCTTCCAAGGGATTTGGATATCTTATGTATCCAATTTTCATTTGTTCAGCACTTCAGGTTCTTATGCCAGCTACATTTTTAATTTCTGCTTGCTAAGGACTAGGGAACTGGCAGCTAATCAATAGTATAATTAAGGAAGACCACTGTTCTGATTCAGCAATGATCATTTCACTGTTTGGGTGGGGACGTTTTGTACAAAT